AGAGAGAGAGAGAGCGAGAAATACAGAGAGAGCGAGAAATACAGAGAGAGATACACAGAGAGAGAGAGAAAAATACAGAGAGAGAGAGAAAAATACAGAGAGAGAAAAATACAGAGAGAGAGAAATACAGAGAGCGAGAGAAAAATACAGAGAGAGAAAAATACAGAGAGAGAAAAATACAGAGAGAGAGAAATACAGAGAGAGAGAGAGAAGTACAGAGAGAGAGAGAAGTACAGAGAGAGAGAGAAGTACAGAGAGAGAGAAATACGAGGGGGGAGAGAGAGATACAATATATTAAAGCTGACCGTGCGTTAGTTTCTAAGGTTTTGAAACGGCGCCATTACATGGAAGATAATAATCGCATTGCCACCAGAACGGCGTTGTGCAAGTGCACGGGCATGTGCGGAGGCGGGGAGCCGGTGTGCGAGCCCAGGGCCGCGCGCGGCTGGCGAAGATGGGCTGCGTCGCCGCTAGGAGCAGCAGCTGCGCGTTGCGGCTGCGCAGGCAAGGCCCCCTCCTGCGGTTTGCCAGGCGGAGGCGAAGGAGGACAAAGTCGCGTTTGCTCATCTTATCGCTTACGTATTGACTCGTATGGGCATAGTAAACGGTCGTGCCATCACATTGAATACGAAAAGCAACACCAAGTTCGGCCTTCCCAGAGGCAGAGTATGGCCACATGTATGGTTTTTAAAAATATCGGTTCAAATTGAGAATCAGTGGAATAGCCACTGAGCTTTATACCTTTGGGAATTTTTTTTTGATGGCAAAGAAGTCATTTAAAAGTAATTGTGTAACTATGTATCATTTACAAAATAAATTAATTTAGGTTTTTGTTTTTAAAAGCGTTAATATGAATTTGTTTTAATTGTTTAACCCCAGTAAAATGTATTGTTTATAAATATTTAATTTGAGATATAAAATAATCTTCGCTTAAGAGAGAATATCTAGTTATAAGTAATCTTATGGTTGAAAACAGATTTTCAGTAATATTGACGACTCTCCGTAATTTTTGTACAGTAATTTTGTTAGCGAGTGAGTGAGTGAATGATTTTCGACTCATTGGTATGAAATTTCAAATTTAACCAAGTGAAATGTTAGTCAGAACATACATAGGTTCTGCACTTACCAGGCTGTAGGCGCTCTCCGGGTAGAACTTCGTGGGGCGCAGGAATCGGATGAGGAACTCGTCGTCATCCCGAAATTTGAGCCCCGGGTTAGCTGTTGGCAAAACATTACTTGTCGAGATACATTGCATTGTTTAAAAAAATTACATTGGATCGTAGTGTGAATACGTTACTTCATTGTTTAAAAATAAAATATAAATTTCATCGTTAATTCGTTATCGTGAATACAGAATCGACCTCACGTTCAAGACATTTCGTGTACCGAATTTGTGAAAAATGAGGTTAATATGTCGGTACTTTTTAATGAATTCACTGTTTTGTTGGTGTGTATCCCATACTTCCAAGAGGTTCCGCTAGGATTTTGCATGTTACAATTTGTAAGAAGTTATAGTCAATGTGGAGAGAAAATTCCTCCTCATCAGCAAAAGGAAGTTCTTTGGTTACTTTTCCACCTGTTATAAAATGACTGTTGCATAGACGACGTTTAAACTGGTAAATGATATTTGTTCAGTCTCCACAGACGTTTTAATTGGATATCAAGTCATTCAAGTATAGGGAATTTTATTTGAATATGCAACCAATAATAATAATAATAATAATAATAATCAATCTATCTTGGATATAAAAAACTGTATCTGGACTCTTCAATACACAACTAACCTCCTCGAGGGGATCGAACTGGAGCTTCTAGAAATGCAATAGATTAGCGACCATTTAAGAAACACTGTTAGTTACGGCTATCCTCACTCAATTGTGAGTCTGATATCTGGGCAAGAGCGGACAATCAATTAATATATATTACTATATATTATTAATTATTATATTGATTATTATTATTATTATTCATTTATTATTATTATTATTATCTTATTATTATTATTATTATTAATTATGTTGTTGTTGTTGTTTTTTGAAATTTAAATGTTTGAAAGCGTGTTCGTGCGTTCGTGACTCGAGTGATAGCGTGTTGAGCACGTGTTGCGAGGTGTGTGGCACTCACCCTTGAGCATCTCGCGCAGCTTTTCCAGGGCCTCCTTGACGTTGTCGGGCGTCTCGCGCAGCTCCTTCTCGGCCTGGGCGACGCGCTCCGCGCTCAGCGGACTCACGTCCAGCCCGATGACGGTGCCCGAGGGCAGCGTCGTCATCAGCGCCATCGCCCTGCGACACACGCCACGCACACCGTCACCTCCGCGCCCCATCCCCGCGCCGTGCCCTCGCGCCCGCACGACCGCCCTGGCCCGCGCTTATTAACTGCGCCAGGGCGGGTCCCGGCCGGCAGATAACGCGAACCAGGAAGGGAAAGCGGCTTCCAAATTAGGGTGTGCAGTAGAGATCTAAGAAATTATCATTTTGCAGGAGATCGGTCTTATCCCTACCCCCAAGCAGACGCGCTTCTAGATATTCTGGCGCTCACGGCAAACATAGAATTTGCGGCCTTGTTAGGATACTTCAAATTTGGGGATGTTGTTTGTATGACGGGTATACTTCAAATAGCGCCCCGTATGAGTGACACCTGTGGCACTTGCCATGACTGCCATACCGTCGATACGCCTCTGTCCCCAAACTCCGAGAATTAGAAACCGGTACACTCTCTACTCCTTTCTCACACATCACGTTGAAGTTTTCTAAATCACTAAATCAATTCGAGGTGCTAGATTGAGTTTGCCCCGCCGATATTAAACTGTGGTATTTGTCTTATCTGTCTGACAGTTTTGTGTTACGTATTCTATCTTCAACTAACATCTGAAAGAGCCAAACGGCAGCACAATGTAAAATCAAGCTCTCAATAAAATTGTTTGTAACAATAAAAAATTAATCTCATCCCGAGCGTGTCTTTTAGATCGCATGAGAAGACATATTGTTTTACTCCATCCGCCGACTGTCCTACGAACTTCTGTTGATGATCTATTTCCTAGTAAACAAATTCGTAAAAGGATAAAGAGTAAATGATGTGACAATTAGAGAAAATTACTAAAAGTTTCTTAAGTTCTTGGATTACAATATTTAACTTTTTTTTTTGTAAAAGTCAGTGGGAAATCGCCACCCCCCTTTCTGAATTAATCCCTTGTCTAAAATGCCCAATTTTTAATTTGTTACATTATTTATATCCAAACCTCTAGTTTGTTCCACATGTGAATATTTGAAAATTGCCAAAGTTTAGTGGTGGTCAGATAGTAGACTCAATAATATCCAATCAAATCGATATTGAACCTCTTGAGTGATTTTTAGACCAACAAAGTCTCAAAATCTCTCAAATTAATAAGATTTTTTGAGCTTATTCTTTAAATATAAAGTAAATAATATGTCATCTCATTAATTCTTATATCTAGAATAAATAATCTCTACGTTTTGGGAGTTAAAATCAATATTCCATTCTTATTTTTCAAATTTGACCTAGAAGTAGCCATTACTGACGCACTAGAGGTTTTACTCTGTTTTCTTTACTCACAGAACACACATGATATTTAGATGTGACGCTTTTCTTTTGTCGATTGAAAGAAAATCCACTGCACTAATGTCAGGAATTGGGCTTCCATTCGGCCGATCTGATCCCCAAAAAAGTCGAAAATAGTCATAAAGAGCTGCTTATGGATTAAATTAAAACCATTGGTAGAGAGTAAATCAACTTGAATTATTTATAAAAATTCAGCACCAATAGATTAATTTTACAAAAACAGCGGGAAATGTACTGAAGTAATATTCTAAGTTGGACACATTTTGGGGAATTATACAAGTATTTTCCTTAGCTAAACGAATTGCAAGTACATTAACTGATCACTTATATAAACTCCTAGATCTCTCTGACTTGGTGAAAAATTTATTTTAAGGATTCATAAGCATAATTAGGAAGCCGAATAAATATGCGGAATGTGAGGTTGCTCGATCCATCTCATTTGTTAATAAATTCTAATGATAGGAATGAATTTTTGAAACTTATTCGACAACGTTACTCCATTACCTTAACCAAATGGCAACGTTAAATTTTGTTTGTGTCATTCTGTCATGTGATAATGTAATGCATTTGTTAATGTATGCTAAAACTGTCATCCTGCAGAAATGTTATGTTTTTAAGTGATTCAAATTTAAGTACATTTATTCGATTTAAAAAATAATTAGTTTAGGAGGGTACATCACATATATACAAAGGTATATTCTAATTACTTTCTCGTGTTCCATTTCTTCGGAGAGCGATGGAAGGAGTTGTGTTGCGGCATTTTGCGATGGACAGGAATATCTAAGATGGATGACTTTGGCAACTACTGCTTACACTCCGGCAACTACTCTATGGCAACTTTGCTTCTTATTTCGTCGTGCTTGTATGGAGATGTAGTCCATTCATAGATGATAGCAACTATTCTGGGATGTTGGATGAACTTTTCAAACTATCGAACTTTCAAAACCAGTTGAATGTTGATCATGTCTGCTTGTAACTAGCAATAAGGCCCATGAATTTTGAATACTTCTATCACTACCCTCCGTTAATTATCTGATTGTTAGGTCACGAGATTTAAGTAGATATTAAAAAAGCATATTTATTTTTAAATTTTGAGTGATGGGGTTTACTCTCTCCAAATTTGTTAAAGTGACGTCGGTTTTGCTTCCTGCAAAGCAGCCGCTGCCGCACTTACCATTGAACTAACAATCTATCCACGTAGGTTGTTATAGCAATACACGCAATAGAATGGTAGCGTGGGTTCTGACGTATCAGCACAATCTTGAGATAAGTTAATGCGTGCAATACGTATCAATGAACAAATATTTGAAATAGACCCATCTACGAGATTAATTAAATGTAAAACAAGGGAGATGGGTTAATTTTGACACACATTTTTCTTCAAATTTACTTTTCCTCTTGGAATTAACTCTATACACCTTATGTTGATTTTAATTTACCTTTTGCACCATTCCATTTGCAAAAGTTTCACGATAAAACCGAAGAAAGCACGTGAAACAAGATAAGATAGATGCCACGTGAAAGTGGATTCTCGCAAACGCGTACTGAAGCATAACTCCAGTCTCTTTGGAATACACATGTACACTCCTCAGAGACTAGAAATATACCGACTTCCCAATGTGACTACTCCATGTAGTATGTTGTATTTGACGAAACCATTTACGCATACAATGATTTCCGCTCTTGCACTTCACCATAATAAACACAAAAAATTACCAAAGTGACAATCACACTGGTCATAATTATATGTTGTTATTGGTTACGTGTAAATAATTTAATACACTAAAATGAAATATTAGTCCATCACTGCATTTAAACACACAACAAGAGTTGGATTTCGTTTACAAAAGTGTTACGTTTAAATCTATGGCCTTTCCAGAGAAGCTAAAGAGAGCAGCGCTTCTTTTCTTTTTGACCCAAAAGAAATTTCAGAACAACAATTTCAAAACTGTATCTTCCATTGGATTAATTTATTACACTATTGATGCCTCATAACATTGTCTATCTTTATAACATACGATTTTCGAGGTTGGTATGTTGTTAGATCATTGGAGTGAATAAAAACGCACGGTACGCACTTTATCAAGTAGGCACTCAGTAGGTATTCAGAGATCCCTTACATATTTTGCTATAAATAATGCACTGAATCTTTCACATAACATCCAATTAACTAATGCACACACAAGTCTATTATAATTATTTCGAATTTAGTTAAACATTTGTGTTAATTTGCTACTGGATACCATAGACCCAAACAAACAATAACCAGTTTCCTCAGGATCGATCTTTAAATGTGTGGAAAAGGAGATGGGGGCTCAAGTAGAACGTATGCATATGTAAGTCACGTATTAAATTGTTTACAGATGACAGCTTAAATTGGGGTTTCCATACACACTCATTTAAAATTAGTAAACTCATTTCAGGGTGTAACTAAAACGGCAATGGCAAAAATCTAGACGATAACTGTAAAATTGAAACGTAAAAATGTTTTGACGTGTTACTGGACATATTCTTATGATTATTTATGAAAAAAAAGGTTTATCTGCATTACGAACCAAACCTAAAAACATGTTTGATTTAGGGGTGTAATTGGAAGTACTTTGAAAATAATGAAAAGTGAACGACCTATTCTTATGACCCGAGATGAGAGAACCATCGAAGGAAGGTATTTTCGGATGTACTACAAAAAGAAGAAACGATACGAGAAAGAGAAGAACACAGGGAAAAAAGAAGGGGAAAAATAAAATGAATGAGATGAATAAAGGAGAAAGAACAGAATGTGAAGAAAAAAGAACAAAAAAGGTGAAGAAAAAAGAAAAAATCAAAATAGGGTGAAGAAGAAATAAAGAACAGAAGAAACAAAGAACAAACGCGAAGAAGAAATAATAAAAGGTGAAAAAAGAAAGAACCAAAGAAGGTGAAGTAAAAACAAAAGAGATTGAAGAAGAAGAAGAAGAAAACGAGATGTAGTGCTGATGTGAAGTTAAGTAATTGGGTGGTAACCTTCTTTCATCGTGGCCGGGCGCCCTTGACCGCGTTGCCGTAGGCTAAGACAGGAGAGGAGACAGGCGAGGGGAAAGAAGTGCCTGCTCTTTGCTGGCGGAGAGAGCCTCCTCAGCCCCCTATCCCCTCCCCCCTCCCTTAGTCTCTTAGTGAGGATCGCAACCCATAGCCCGAGTGGACCCATGGGACGGCAACCCATTGCATACGAATGGCACTGCATTCAACATTTTTATACTTCTCTGCAAGAGGAACGTTGTCTGTTGTAATTAGCAACACTTGTCACGTATGAGACACGAGACTAATAAGATATACTCTTGTATAGTCATAGCTTAAACCGCTCTTCAATGCGAGTAGCCCGGAGATAAAAGGCAAAACCTTACGCGTCATTCGAAAATTGTGGGTACGATCCCGACAAGGAGTTAGAAATATACTTGTTAGCTTTACATTCGTCAAAACGTTAGTGGTTTCCGCGGATACTCGCATATTTTAGGCAAATGTCAAAGCGGCAACGGGCCACGGACCGCGGGCGATCTTTTCTTATCATTGTCCAGTTACCTCCTGCAAATTGAGCTGGGGCGCTGAGAGGGAGTACATTCCTGCGTAATCCTTCCCCTTATTAAGTTAAGACTGGCACACGCCAGTGACGTCTTGCAGGCCCTCCAGTTGCGCACGAGATCAAAAAAGAAAATGGTGTTTTAAA